TCATTGCAAGAGTCAATCACGACACAACCTCTAATTAGTTAGGTTAAGTTACGTGAAAGTTAAAGTATTCTCGTTAGTTGATATTGTTATAAATATTAACAAATATGACAAATATGTCCATCACAAACTGCAAAAAAAAAAATTTAAAAAAAAAACGGACAAAAGAAGCTATTTTAAGCTTAATAGAGGCCTATAAAGAGGAAACATGTTTATATGCGGTAAATCATGCAATTGCATTGTTGCACTGCAGTGGCAATGGCCTGCTCCATGTTTGCTTCAGTTTGCTTAACCAGTACGGAAGATCGCATCGTCTGAAGCCAAGCCAACAATATGGCCAGTAGCACTGCCAGCACTGCTGCCCACATGATAGCAAGTACGCACATCTAGTTAGCAATCTAGCAGATAAAATAGTACCGTGTGCTGCAGGCTTAACTCATAACTCATGTCTTCTTTGTCGAGCGCGGCAGTGATTCTCTGCGTCGATTCCTAGTGTGCTCCGAAATTTGCCCTCGATTCCGCGCTTTGTTGATTAATTCCTTTTTCAATTTGAAAATATTACTTAATTTACCTTAAACAAATTTTTTTTGCTTAATATGCAATTTGAACGACGTCTTTGATTAATACAACAAAACAGAATTGACAAATATATTTAATAAAAACGGGAGAGCAAATGCTGAATTTTTTTTCTCTGATTCCAGGAGGGGGCAAATGCCCCCTCTTGCCTCCCCCCCTCCTGTGGACGCCCATGAACGTTTGTTTTTCGGAACGTAGAGGAATCGATTACAACGTAGTTTTACGATTGTTGCATTGGGTGCGAGAAACAGGATTTGTAGTGTTCAATAGACGAATCAATGTCGTCGTTGAACGCTCGTACAGTACAGAATAAAGAAGCGGTCTTACAAACCGTGGACAATACACTAAGTGTCCGCGAATTGAGTCAGGAGTTGGCGATATCGAAAAGCACGGTTCTACGTACATTGCACGATAATCGATTTCATGCGTATTATTTTACGAAAGTATAAAATTTATTGCCCCAAGATTACATATCAAGAGCAAGATTTTGTACATGGTTGTTAAATAAGGAAGAAAATCAACCTGATTTTGTGAGTAACATTCTGGTGAATCATGTTTTACATTTACTGATGAATCATGTTTTACGCGCGATGGAATCTTTAATACACATAATACACACATCTAGGCGAACGAAAATCCACATGGATATCATATTAAAAGTTACCAGCATCGATTCAACATTAATTTATGGGCTGGTATATTAAACACCTCAATAGTAAGTTTTACAATTTTGTACAAAAATGTTTAAAGTTCCACGAATTTTATTTCTCACGCAACTATTTCAGATTAATCCGTTTGAAATGCTTGCGAGACTCATAGGACAATTTTATAGTAATTTCTTATAAACTAATTTATTGGAAATATTGAAGAACGTATCACTAAACCAAAGACTACAAATGTTTTTTCAGCATGACGGAGCGGCGTCTCACACATCTATACGCGTGCGTCGCGTGTTGGATACAAGCTATCCGAATAGATAGATAGGCGGCAGAGATGCTATAAATTGGCCAGCAAAATCTCCAGATCTAACTCCGTTAGACTTTTTTCTTTGGAGTACGATAAAAGAATAGGTTTATCGAGAGTATCCAGTATTACAAAAAGGTGGAATTTCATCTTTAGGAATACCTCCTTTGACCAAAAAGAATTTATCTGTGCAATTAAAGGAGGATGGGTAAAATTTCCCTAGTGGTGTATCATCTTGTCATGGTGAGGAGGCTCCTCGTTCCTGAGATCTGCCGTGGCAGTACCGGGGCTTAGTCCCGGGAGGCCCGCCAGTGAGAGACCGCGGGGTCTAAGAGCATACCAACGTCCAAAGTGTAAAGGCACCATGCCGAAAGATGCATGGCCACAGGGACGTAAAACAGTGCGATCGCAAACGGTTCCCTTGGGGTACCTGACGCAACCCCATTGTATTTAAGTCGCCTTACCCGGGCAAGGCGGCTCTGCCCGAGTGAACGTTTAAGATCCGTTACTTTTATGGGGACAAAATGGAAGTACCAAGTTTAAACATTAAAAACCTTTTGAAGGAAAGAATTGAAAGGAGGGAGAAGAATGCCTTTGCCAAGACAAAGACGTCCAGAAAGGAAAGAGAGGCATTGTCGTCTTTGTCAGCCATGGAGGAGATGGAGATTTCTCCGGATCCTCCAATGCGGTCATCATCACCCGCAGTGTCAGTGGCAACTACGGCGAACATCTCGGAATCTATATACAGTGATGATGGAAAGCATTTCTCCATCAATTCTGTAACCCACGCTGCCCCCAAGCGTAACAAGAGAGGCCATCCCGCAACAATTAGGAACTATGTCAGCCTCTTGGCTGCTAGAAAGCGGCTCAGCAGGAGGAAAAACTAGAGAAACAGCAGGAGGAAATTGTGCTTCGGGCAGAACTCGAAATTCTCGACCCAGAGGCAAGATTACAAGGGCTGTGAGTACACTCCTCAGCGACAGAGTTATCGCTGAGGAGATGGAAGGACAGCCCTTAATAGGTCTTAAAGACCGAGTCGAGGAGACCATATTGAAGATGGAGAAAGTGGCCTCCTCATCCAAGAACCTGAAGAGCACTAGTGTCCGCGAGCTGCATTTGGCTGCGCAGGCAGTGAGAGCAGCAGCAGTGGAAATGGAGAGAAGGTCCTCGGCCAATGCTAAGACGCGTTGGCTTCAGGAGGACAACTCTCGCCTCAGGTCAGAACTGTCCATGGGACAGAAGACGGGAGGGGACAAGTTGCGAAAGGAGATCGAGGTCCTGCATTCTAGAAAGCGCACGATCTCGAGATCCTCATCCGAATCCTCATCCTCTTCCAGGGTGATTCCCCTCAGCCAACGTTTGGTCGGGAGGAACCCATTTGGCAGAAATCGGGAGACGGGAAATTCCAACCAACCTCCTCCCAAAAAAAGGAGGAGGAAAAGACGGAAAGAAAGAAGGACCTCTTCAGGGTAATCCCTGGTTCCCTGAGGAAACTCAAAATCCCCCGATGGAATCCATTATGGAGAGGATTGGGAGCCTGATAGAGACCAAACTGACGGCCTTCTGGGAGGAGTTATTCCCCGGAAGAACTGTCAGACCTTTCCTAGGAATAGGGGGGGGGGAGAGGGGGAATCGGACATTGAACAGAAGATCCCTGCCCCGATACTTGCCTCAGCAAAAAAGAGAAAAAGGAGAAACAAAGCAAAGAAATGCCTTTCACCTTCACCACCTTGATACTTGATATGCCTATACGCCCCCCTCCAGAAAAGAGGAAAGCTGGGAAAAAGCGGTGGGAAGGAAAGCCAATAAAACGGAACGTAAATGTACCGCCCCAGCTCCAATGGCTAAGCCTGGGCCTTCTAAAAGCTCTAGCCAACGGGTAAAGGGTGGCAAAAGACAGCCGACTAAAAAACAGTCAGTTGTTTCTAAGAAAATGGGTTTGAGACGCCCTCTCAAAATGGCAGCGGTTACTCTGACCATCCTTTGGGAGGGAGAGGGGGGGGAGACTTGGAGCTACACCTCCGTAATGACCGTGGTTAGGGAAAAAATAAACCTGGCAGACATGAGCATCACGGTGGAGTTGAGATTCAAAAGGGCAGTTACCGGGGTAATCATCCTGGAGGTCCCCAGGGAGAAAAGTGCAGCTTAAGCGAACAGACTGTGCGCCAGGCTGGCGGCAGTCTTTGAGAGCACTGGAGTTCGAGTCACCTGCTCCTCAAAATGTGCAGAACTCCGAGTGAGGGGACGACTCAGTCACTCCAGATGACATAGCCGTCGCTGTAACGATAAAGATGAAGTGCGATCGAGGGCAAGTCAAAGTTGGCACCATTCGATCGACCTCCCCAGGGATTGGGGACAGCCTGGGTCCAGTGTCCTCTTGTAGCGGCCAGAAAAGTGATGGTAGTCGGGAAGTTGGTAGTGGAATGGGTTGCAACTCAAGTGGAGCCTGTTAAACCCCCCCCCCCTACTTACTGTTACCGTTGCCTGATGATGGGGCACGTCCGGCAGCATTGCATCAGCGCTGCGGACCGATCCGATCGGTGTTACCGATGTGGTAGTACAGCCCACTGTGCGAGCCAATGCTCGGCCGAGCTTAGGTGTCCGTTATGTGCGGACTTGGGACGCCCGGCCGACCACAAGTTGGGTGCCAAGGCGTGCACGCCTTCCGCTTCCCGGCAGGATCGCAAAGGGGTAGGAAAATCTCAAGTGTTGAGCAGGGTAGAGAAGAACACTGTCGCCCCCGCTAGTAAGGAGGCGATGAGGCCTCCGGATCCCCCTACAAGGGTGACAAAAAAAGCTCCTTCCTCTGACTCTATCAGGAAAGGAACAATAAAAAGGAGCAGGAACAGTTCCAGATGCATGCTTGGTCCTGTTAATAAAGCAAGGCGCTCGTCTGCAGTGCAAAAATTTTTAAAAATTAGAATCAGATTCAGCAGCTCGAAAACTATAAAAAAACATGCCGTTTTTTTTGCCGCTTTGAAGGCTAAAATCGGACCATTTTACCCATCCTCTTTTATCCTCAGTTCTACGTACTTCACATTTAACAATTTAATTTACAAACAAACATTTGGGACACCTATGGGATCGCCTCTTTTGCCTATCATTGTTGACATCGCCCTCCAAGACATAGAAGAAAGATCGATAAATTATTTAACCTTTAGTCTTCCGTTTTATCTGACAAGTAGAGTATATCAGTTGAGAAACGCAAATCATAACCAAATTTTAATAGTGTATAAAGGGGAGCCTCCTGAATACGATAAGACCAAAATTTCAAAGCGGTGCGTTGCAGCGTGATAAGGCATCTACTTACCAAGCCGCTGACCCGAGTTCGAATCCTGATGCTGTCGTATCTTTCTTTTATTTATAATAATAAAATAAAAAATAATTATTTAAATATTATTTATTTTATTTGAGTACAAAAAAGGTATTAAAAAATTAATACATTTTTAAATAGTCAATATTAATTGATTTTTCATAGAATTAGATTTTATTTAATAATACAAATTTTAGGATAAAAATTATCGTAAAAACAAGAAAAGCAAAGACATTTTCGGCAAATTAAACATTGTATACAAGGCAGTTGACCGCAGTTGACATTTTGATTTCGACAAGATAAAGAAAATTCAGAACTGTGCCTATTTGCTCGAAAATAAGCGAGAAATTTCGACAAGAGAAAAAGGCATTTGAATCCATTCTCTGCTTCAATTATCAATTGACATCAATTGACATCACCGATTTTTCAACCAATGCTTCAATACGCATGGTTTGCATCAGGTTTTATTAATCAAAGAAAAGTTTTCTTAAATTTAAATTTAAAACGGTGAAGGACTTTTTGGTTTGGCTTACTGCTCTACTCGCTCACGAGCGTTGTCGTGGTTATTCTGAGATACCGTGTATATGTACAACTGCTCGTTGATAACTATAAATAACACAGACTTCTATATACTTATTGTTAGATAATTATATATTTCTATATACTTATATAGTTAGATTACTAGTCTGTCTTTTTAATATACCTATCTCTTAAAAGTATGTACTAAAATCTTGTGCATGCGCATATTATATAATAAAATATCGCACCATTTGCTAAAATTATTAATTTCTTACTCGAAACAGGTATAACAATATAATGACAAACGATTGCTTATCAACACCATAGTTCGTTCAATAATTAGCTTCTTCAGTGTTATATTATGTGCATGCATATGTATAATATAGGGGATACAGAAATATTATTAAAATATTTGTACAAAATAAAAGTCTCACAGTCTAGCTTATATAATAGTCTAGTATATGTGATACAATATGTGATAAATAATGACCTCATAAATAAATCATAGAATAAATCATAAATAAACCTTGTCGATCATAGTTTAAATTTTGAAAAAAACCACGTAGTGGTTAAATTGAATAAAGAAAAGAAGTTAAATTGAATAAAGTTAATTGAATTTAGTTATAATTTTAAGTTTACAAACACGATTAAATTCCCGGGGCCGTTACGATTATCTTAGGCGCTCCTTCTACGCTGGAATCTACTCGCGCGCTCCAGCGCAAAGCTGCAAAAAAGGTCATATCTTTCTAGCCGCCACGCGGTTAAACGGAATTTTACAAGCAGGCAATATCGAACCGGGTAGAGGCGGATCATCGCAGACCGAGTGGTCAATTTTTACATGTTTTTGGATACTTTAAAAATTATTGGCGCCTATTAAAATTTTGCGCCCTACGCTGATGCGTATATTGCGTATTGCCTAGTAACGCCCCCGCTCGTTCCATAGAAAATTACAAAGATCCTAAAATATATCACAATAAATTTCAAATCCGCGTTTCGTCCTTTATATCTTCTCTTCGTTTCTGTCGTCGAGTTTCGGATTCCTCCGAATTGTTCCACCATTGTACTTCGCCTGACCCGCATATCACAAAGATCAAGTTACCCAGGAAGTAAATCACCGCCGCAACGTAGAATACGATGTTCCACTGATATACACTACTCTGAAAAGCGAGATATTTCTTAATAGTAGTTTTGACAAAATTAGTTTTTCCAATAACTAATTGTAAGATAAAACACGCACTCAAAATACATAGATTTTAAATATTGCTAGTACACAATGCGAGTTTGAAGTATAAAAATTGAGTGAAGAATAAAATTTACTATATGCGCGAGAATGATTACCTCGTCGACGACAATCTCGCTGCATATAATAGGTGCAATGATGGCAGTGATAGTGGCGATGCAATTGGTAATGGACATCATAGTGCCAGCAAAGTTTGGACTGAGATCAATATGATTGATTTGGTAACCACATAGAGATCCAGCATTAAGACCAACCGCGATGATGAGAATGACGACGGCCCAGATAAAATCGTCAGTAGGTATAATGCTCATGCATGCCAAAGCAACAGCCGGGCCCCAATGAGCCACTGTATTGCAAGTCTTCCTGACTATGCCTCGAGATGCACCCTTCTTCAACGCATAATCGGATAACCAGCTTGCAGGAAAACTGAGGATCCACATCATTAAGTACGGTAAAGCAGAAATTCCACCGCTCTATAGAAAAGAAAATGTATTTTAATGATTCTTAATTAATCAAAGAAATCATTCTCCTAATTAGTAAAAAAAAAGTAATTCCAAAAATTAAAACATAAAAAAGCGGGATTTTGTTTAGAAAATTAAAAAAAAATTTTTCGGCTTTTTTATTTGTTTTATTAAATTTTACTGCTTACTTGCTCGATCTTGAAGTTCAACACGCCCGTCATGTAACTGGGTATTTCCGTCAACAGCGTCCAATATCCCCAATTTTGGCCACAATGAGCTATTATGATGGCCCACATAGGTACCGAGGTAAAAATCTGTTTCCATGGTATTTGCTGTTTCTGGTAAAAGATATAAAATCATCATAAATAAATTGTATTATTTTAAATTTAAATTTAAAAAATATTTTTTAATAAAATAATATATATAACAATGGAATAATAATCAAAAAAATTTCTTTAATTTTATGGAACAAAAAATTTTTTTATAATTTACGATATTGAGGATAAAATTGAAGAAAATATCTAACAAGGCAAACACACCAGACATCTGGGTCTTCGATTTGCCCAATTTTATCTACGTTGTAGTAGCATCTTTCCCTCCACTAATCCGTGATAAAGTGATACGACACAACTCTCAAGAATAAGCGAGAAAAATGCGTTTAAACATTTATGTGCGCGTAATCTATCGAGCACTAACAACGAATTGACAGCTAAGCGGCGTAGCTTAGGGCTTGGAGGCTTAAAAGGTGCTACTACAACATATATAAAATTGGACAAAATCGGAGACCCAGATGTCTGGTGTTCCTCTTGTAAGATATGATTACCCTGATGGAAATATTTTTCTGAAAATATAACGAAATTTTGCTGAAATGTATTTGGAAATTTCTCTCAATTAACCCCATAAATTAATTTCATAAATATTTTATCAATTTTTTATTAAAAAATAACAGTTTTAAGTTTAATTCGTAAATTTCATAATGTCTAATATTTCAAAACTCTTTTATTACTTTTCAGCAGTATATTTTACCTTTCTTTATATTTCGTAGTATTACATTAAATTTTCATACGGAAAATTATGACTCATTTTGAAATATATTCAGTAGTTTTTCAAAAACTTTCATTTTACTTTTCATTGATTTCATAGTATTTTCAGCAAAATATTTCCAACAGGGTAGAGTTGAGGGAAAAGTTATTTGTAAACGTAACTCACTACAGTTATCGTTCTTTTCTCTAAAAAAATTTCTTTTTTCCAAAACTTATAACAACAGCGTTATAAGTAACGAATTATTTCCCAACTGATCTCCCATAACTCATTCATATTAATCATGTCCCTGAGGTTTATAATAATAAACATAGATCATTTTCTTACCTGATCGACTTTATCGTCTCCTTTTGTTTCTGTGATCCTCAGACTTTTTTCTATATACTCCTTCTCCTCCTCGGAAATACTACGATGATTGGACGGCGAGTCTGCCCCAAGAAAAAAGAAACTCACACTCCAAAGGATTGATAATGCACCGAACAAGTAAAAGATGCTGGGCCAGCCTACATTTGATGCAGCGAGAAATCCGGAAATTGGCATAGCTATCACCGTGCCAAATTGAGCACCCGCGTAAGCAAATGTTCCTGAAACACAACAGTAAATTAATTTCTTTGTTAAGATATATTATTGCCATTAATTACAAGTCACAATCACAAGCAATCAAGTTTTGCTCGTTGCATTAATCTATTTATTCCAAAATTCTATCAATAAGAGAAAAAAAGAATATCTAATAGTTTTTAACTATTTGAAAGTTAAAATGTGAAAAGGAGAAAAATGAAGAGAAGAAAGAAGAAGAAAGAGGAATGCATAAATTTAAATTTTAATAAATTAAATAGAAAAGAAGAATAATTGGAACAATACTTATGACATCTTAAAAAATATCTTCATAAATAACTATGACGTCCCTGAGCGCGCGAAAATTCAACACATCTATTGGTGAACTTTAACCTGTTATAACTCGAAAACTTTGATGCATATCGCGTTCTAATATCAATATTTTAAAAAAAGTAATAATAATAAATAAATAAAAATAAATTTATAAATAGATTCCAAATAAATTTATAAAGTTATTTTAACAATAATAAATAGTGAAATATTTCAATTACCTATATCAACATCGATAATTAAAGTGATATCTGAAGGCATTTTTAATGTGCGATGTCCCTGAATGTGCAACTTTTTAACAACTTGATTGTGGTAAACTTTAATTTTTAATATTTCCCATATTATTTTAAAAACTATTGCAATTTCGATATTTTGATATTAAAATTTTTGTCTCCAAATGATTTCAGGAATCTACCATTAACGAGTGTTACGGTAGGTTTAAGCATCTTGTATATACTTACATAAAAGTATAGTTAGGCCGACAATATTCTAAGCCGTCGGACAATATAAGCAGGTGCGGGAAAAGAAGAAAAAAGAGGGTATCAAATTAGACAGTTCAGCATATTTTTAAATAGTGGAGCGATAGGGGATATCATGTTATACTCATCTACAGTTGCAATAGTGCATACTCAGCATTTTAGGCGACATTTTTGCGCCATATTTAGGAATTATGTAATCGATTTTGTAAACCGATTTTGAGTTATGTCATTTTGAATACACATTTGTGCATGCTTAGATTTCTCAGCAATCAAATTACTGGATCACCATTTTCGATGCCATTATCGTTGTCAGATTTTGCAATTATGTAATCACTGATTTTAGGTTATGCTATTTTGTAACAACCATGTTAGCATCATTTTTTATTCACTATTCTTCGGCGCCATTTTGCGCTGTGTTACGTGCGGATATGCAACGTATAGAAATTTAGAAATAAAGAACAGGATACTTTCTATGAGATTTTTATTCAGGGCTGCAAGTTGATGTTGCTCGTCAGAGCTGCGAACGAGAACTAAAAACTAAACGCATAAACTGGACCTTTGTTCCAAGAGCTTGAGGTATTTTGTCGATAAGTTTAAAAAGTTTCGGGCGGAGAAATAAGATTATATTGAAGAAAGTGTTTCGCGAGAAAATAAATTTAACGGATTTATGTTTATTAGTTTATTATTTCGACTGGTTGTTTGTTCAGACCGAAAAAAATAGGTGGTAAGGACATAGATTTTAGAAATAAAAAAGATTTACGGATTACGTCATCACCATTTTTAATTATTGCCGTGTGCAAAAGTGCTGCTCTTAGCAACAAAACAGATATAAAAAGTTTGCAAAAAAAATGAAATTATCAAAGTTGTTCGAAATGGAGACAAATACCCTGTATAGAATAAAAACTTCACATAACATTGTTTATACAACATTATATGAACGTTTGCTCAACGTTGAAACAACTTCAAAACGTTGTATTATTTCCATATAACATCTAAATATCCAGATGAAGTACATAAAATGTTGACTTTCTAATATTACTTTCTGTGAATTTGAACGTTGTCCCAATATGTGAAGTTTCTGTTCTATACGGAACGGAGTATGATCTTACTGTTTGAGTAGAAAACATCAAAATTTTGGGAGAGTTCCTCGCATGGAACTACAAGTGCGACTAGTAGCTTAATTCTCTAAGGGAAAAATGTCGCAAGAAACAGTGCACCAGAACAATTAATTCTTTGATCACGCAAATTGTATCTGAAGGGTATAAGAAATATCCTACAAGAGTGTTTTGTGTCTATCGGCGGTGGATATGGTATGAAAAAAGAATTTACGTAGAAAGAAATCGAGACAGTCTTTAAGAATCGTATGTTACAAGGGTAAGTCAGAAATTATCCTCAATGTTCTTGTAAACTTTATTACAGAATACTTACGAAATAAACCTTTACATTATTTTTTAACATAGTTCCCTAGTTTCTCAATACACTTGTTCCATCTGTCCATAAGTTTCTGAATTCCGACAGAAAAAAAAGTTTTAGGCTGGGAGACAAACCAGGTATGTACCACTTTTTGTACATCATGGTCTGAAACAAATCGACGACCTTTTAAAGTATCTTTAAGGGAGCCGAAAAGATGATAGTTCTCGGGGGCAAGATCAGGACTGTAAGATGGATGAGCCAATACCTCAAACTTCAGCTTCCAAAGAGTCTACAGCTTCTTCTTATGTTTAATGCTTGTCCAACCATTTTCAAATTTTTCAATCCACTCATAAACACTACGTTGGGGTAAAACACTATCACCATATTACACGCAGAGCCTACAATAAATTTTAGCACTTGAAACTCTTAACCACAGAAAATATCACACCTTTCTGCTCTTCCTTCCTTCCTTAATGCAAACACAAAGTGCAGCATCTATGTTCAAATAGCCATACAAATAAAAGGAAACAATCAAAAGAAAGTAATCAATTATAATACACTCACCCGAAAAAAAAGCGGTACACTGAAAATGTGGGAAAAATTCATCAAATTTCAACTGACGATAACTTCGTAAATAATAAAGATAGAAAGTTCTATAAAATATGAAAATGAAGCTAAAAATCTCTACTTTAAGAATCAATTTATTTCAATGTTGCAAAATAAATTTATTGAAAATGGCGGATGACAAAGCGCGAGCATGCAAAATTGAAAAATAATGGTTCGAGTTTGCGACGGTGCACGGTATAAACAAAAAATTGTAGCTTATTGGGATCAAAAGCGTACGAAAGTACAGAGTCTCCTCTTTAAAATGCTTTTTATGCATCTCGATACGATGATATTTCGCCGAGAGATTCGCATTTGAAGAAAAAGGCAGATTCTTACTTCTAGGCCTCTCACTTACAGTACAGTCTGCAAATCGTTCTCCAACGCGACGGTATACTCGTTCTCGTCCGTCTGAAGAATACAGAACAAAACGAGATTCGTCGCTAAAAGAACGGTACTCCATTCTGCATATGTCCAGCCTGCATGC